TAATCAATTTAAAGCTTCAGGGTCTTAAATGGTGAGGAAGTCTCATGAGAAACGCCCGGCCCGCCTGAAAAACTTGCCTCGGGTGCGACAGGGAGGCGTTATTTATAGGGAAGAGGAATGGAGGCAACGGAGGAGACGGAGATTACACGGCCAAGGAGCACGAAGCCAAGAAACACAGCGCCAGTCGTCAGACTTAATGGCCGGAGATTGGGGCAGGTGTTTTTGCATCTGTAGCTGGTTCCTTCGATTAGCGTCGATCGCGGCATGCCGCCGGGAAAACGAAGCTATGGAGAACAGGACATCCGCAAAAGGAGGCCGACGTCCACACACCTAGACAAGTGCCTTGCGCGCGTTTGGTAAAATCCCATGCGATTTGGTTGTGCAACGGCCCTGGCTTCTCACTAGGGCCAGCAGGGGGCATACCCCGAAGCTTCAAGGGGTGAGCTCCGAGGTGGCCCGTAAGAGAGCCTCGCTACCTTGTGAATACGAGTCCCTGCGGGTCAGTGCGGGGGCAGCAGCTGCTGGCCCTTCCGCGTGCCCTTGGAATGGGGACGCGCTGGGCGAGCAGAGCTCCTGAGCTAGGGGGGAAGAGACGGCGACACGACCACCCAAAAGGAACAGGGGAGGGGAGTCAGGAGGCCCATGCTTTCAAAACTTCTGCTGGGGGGGCTAATTATCCGATTGGTGTATGTTATCATATTGTATCCTCTCTCTCGCGGTTCATTTCTCTTCGGGCGATGGAGGAGGAGGAAAGAAGGAAGAGGAGGAGGAAGAGGAGGGGAGGAGGAGGAAGAGGGAAAGAAGAGGAGGAGGAGGAGGACAAAGGACAAAGACGGTTGGGTACAACTCTGAACAAGAACAGCAATAACTCTAGGCCTGTAGAGCGTCTAGGCTCCTCCGTGGCAATCTGAGCGATAGCCTCCTCAGAGGACCTGCTCAGGAGCACCTAGATGGCCTGAAGGACCCGAGCGATCTAGGGCTCCACTAGCTAGCAGGGGCGTTCCCTGTCGGGCGCCAAGCGGCGCGGAACCGACGGACAGGCAGCGGCGTCTCCGAGGCTCAGAAGAGGACGACGACACCTCAACACGACGAAACGATAAGAGAAAGAGAGAGAGAGAGAGAGAAGCAGCAGAGGGCGCGGGGCGGCGACGTTGGTGATCATCTCCATCACCCGACAAGAAGGGGGACACGCCGAATTCAGGGAGCTCAGGTTGTGTCTGAAAAATCCCAAATAATTTCTGGGTCTTCACTTCGCTTCTTGGGTGTCGTGGTCGTCGATATCTCCTATCATAGTGCCCGTGGTTCCCCCCTGTAGGCTCTGTGCAATTCAGACACAATCGCATCATACTCAAACTCTATCCCGTGTGTCTTATGTGACCTCTCCAAACATACCCTACACCCCACTGTTTTCCTTATGTTTGTAAGTAGTACTGCCAAAGACTGACGTCGTCTGTGGTTGCTGTTGTGGTAGGGAGGCTCGAACTGTTCCCCCGAGTGCCGCACTGAACAGTCGCACCATATAGATCGTGTCATGTCCTCTCTTCCTGTCTGCTGTCCTGGTAGGTAGGAGGAGAAGGAGGACGAGGAAGGAGAGGAGGAGGAGGAGGAGGAGGAGGCAAAGTAGGAGGAGGACGAGGAAGGAGAGGAGGAGGGCAGGGCAGAGGGGGGACGAGGAGGAGGAGGAGGAGGAGGAGGAGGAGGAGGAGGGCGAGGAGGAGGAGCACGCGCGGCGCGACGCGTGCGGACGCCAACACGCCCTCCGGGAGGCCTAGAGTAAGGCCTCGAGCTGAGCACAGACAGCACCTCTGGGCAGCCCCAACTGGCCTCAACAGGCCCCCCCAGGTAGTCCCAGCTGGCCTCAACGAGCCCCCCCGGCAGTCCTGGCTGGCCTCAATGGGTCCCCCCCCAGGTAGTCCCAGCTGGCCTGAACAGCCCCCCCGGAGTGGTCCAGGGCGGTCTTCACACTCCGCGCCGCCTCCAGAGGGCGCGCCCCTGAAGCACTCTGCACCCCAGGGCTGAGGCGTCGAGACCGCCCAGGGCTACTCGGGGGGCCTGTCGAGGCCAGCTCGGACCACTCGGGGGGCCTGTTCAGGCCAGCTGGAGCTACCTGGGGGGGCTGTCAGTGCGCAACGCGAAGCCTCACCGCGGGGACAGCCAGCAGCCGCTCATGACGCGTGTCGTGCTGACCCCAATTGCCGGGACTGCTTCTCGACGTCCCGTGGTGGAACGGCGTGGGGGCGAAAAGCGCTTGTGTCGTTGTCGAACACTCTGGGGCGCTCTTGGTCTTTGCTCTGCCTCGGGGGGGGTCCCCGTCCACGGCGGGACTCGCAGACGCTCGCCCCAAAATGCTAGCCAGAAAGCACCCCAGGAGAGGAAAACCTTCTCGACGATTTCGCGACTGGCATCCAGGTTGCAGGACTTGGGAGGACGTTGGCCTTGGGTGGGCCTCCTTGAGCACCCTCGCTGCCACGGTTGGGTCCGCCTCGAAATCTAGGTCAGAAGGCAACCCAGGAGGGGTCCGGAGGTCGCCGCCGTCGTCGTCGTCGTCATCGTTGTCACCGCTGCCGTCCCACCAAAATCCGGTCAACATCTGTCCAAAGCCCCTCCTTCGGTCCACACGGGATATTTGTTCGAGCTGCGTCAAGCCGTGGCGACGAGAACTTCCAGTAACGCTGAAACCTTCGAAACGAAGACGCAGTCGTCGTCGAACGGTGAGGCAATTCTTCCATACCCTTCTCCATAGACTTCTTGGTAGCCAGTCTGGCTCAGTCGGGCCCTGGACGGAACGTAACCCTAACCCGATGCTGACAAAATTGCATCGTAGTGCGCTCGTCTTCTGGCTTGATTTGTGTCAGCTCGATCGAGTTCTGGGAAAGTCCTGCTAACCGTGTGCCCATGATAAAAAAGGACCCCCCTTTCCACGCTAGAGTTGATTATCCACGGCCAAGAAGAGTTTGGTCAGGGGCGCGGGGCGCGGAGGCCGAATTTTTTGTATCACTGTGAAAAGTTCACCATCGAGGTTAACTTCCTTCTTATGTTGAGATAGCCACATCAAACGAAGCGAAGACGTTGTCGAGGATGTCTCAAGCGAACCAACAATTGTTAAAGGCAGCCACAAGTGAAACGATCGATGTTTCAAGGATGTCTCAAGAGGAACCAACAAGTCTTCGAGAATGTCTCACGCGAAGCGAGAAACTTGTCGATGAGAGACTTCCTCCTCCTCCTCCTCCTCCTCATCATCCTCATCCTCCTCCTCTCTCGTTTTCTTTGTCTCTCTCTCTCTCTCTCTATGTATCTTTGTCTCTGTCTCTCTCTCTCTCTCTATCTCTCTCTCTCTCTGTCTTTCTCCTTCTCCCCCTGGCCCCCTGAACTTGTTTTATCGCTGTGGTTTACTATCCACGGAAACCGAGGCACATGAGGCACCCTACACGAGCAGATGAAAATCTTAATTTCCATTGATTGATTACAAATTAAAGTTAATAGGTTTGGAACTTTGGCTTTTCTCCTCCTCCTCCTCAACTCTCTCTCTCTCTCTCTCTCCTTCTGTCTGTCTATATTTCTCTACTTCCTTCTCTCTCTCTCTCTGTCGAACTGTATGTATCTTTCTGTCTCTGCCTCTATCTGTCCTCCTCCTTCTCCCCCTGGCACCCTGAACATGTTTATCGCTGTGGTTTACCATCACCGAAAGCCGAGGCACGTGAGCTACCCTACACGAGCAGATGAAGATCTAATGTTTCATTGCTTGTTTACAAAGTAATTAAATAGGTTTGGAACTTTGGCGTTTCTCCTCCTCCTCCTCCTCCTCCTCCTCCTCCTCCTCTCTCCTTCTGTCTGTCTATCTTTCTCTACTTCTCTCTCTCTCTCTCTCTCTAACTGTCTGTATCTTGCTGCCTCTGTCTCTCTCTGTCTTCCTCCTTCTCCCCCTGGCACCCTGGACCTCGATCCTCGATCTTCGATTTTCGACCCTCGGACCTTGATCCTCGATCCTCGGACCTCGACGCCGTCGATCCTCGGACCTCGATCCTCGACAGTGGGATCTCGATCCTCGATCCTCGGGCTTCGATTCTCGATCCTCGATCCTCGGCTTTCGGTCCTCTTAACATCATCTCTTTCTCCTCCCACATGCTGGCCTCCGGTAGGCAACATTTATAATCCCCCCGCAACCCCGAACTTTATTATCCCTGTGGCATTAATCTCGGCAGCACAGGGTTACTCTCCGATGGTTCACAAGGCTCGTCCTCGAGCGAAGGGTGCGGCGACACGATCCAGCCCTCAGGAGGACGTCTCCGCGCGCGCGCGCTCACATGGCGCGGGTTCGCCCAAGACGGAGGGAAAGATCGGCGCACAATCCAGCTGACGCTACGCCTTCTGTATGGTCCTCAACAGAGCGTTCCACGCAACCGCCGCTGACGACGCCAATTGCGGCGGCAGCACCGCGGGCATGGTAACCCTGGACAGCGCTCACGTGCACACTCGGGCATGGCGGCGAAGACGCAATGCCAGCACACGGCAACATCGTGATGGACAGGCTGGCACGGACGAGGCTGCAGGCCCGCCTCGCGCGACGGGACCAGAGGGCGATGGGATGAGGATGTCCCGAGGGAGAGGGCGCGAGCGCTGCACGACCCTCAGCCGTCCACGGCTGTGCTGAGAGCTGCAGCTCCGCGCACGTGAGGGCGCAGCGGAGGGGGCGCTGAAGCGCCGACATGGCAGGACGGGGCGAGGCGCGTGTACGGCCTGGTGCACGGGAAAACTGAGGAGGTGAAACAGGGAACCGGTGGGCCCCGACGCAGTCTGATGGCCGAGAGGAGACAGCGCACCCCCCCGCCAGCGCGGCTGGGCTGCACGGCACGCGGCCAGGCTGCACGGCTTCAGGTGGACAGAGTCAGACAAATTGAAACTGCAGCTCGCTCCAGACGGCATGGAATGCTGCGAAGCGGGGGCAGTTCCCCTCGCGGTCACAGCTGGCTCGGCGGCAGCTGCGCCGCGGCGGCGGTGACTGCGCTCCAGTCCCGGCCCTCATACTCCTTCAGGGTCCCGACCACAGGGTACCTGCCACTGAAGTGTTTGTGCCAGGCCGCCAGTGTGTGCCGCTCCTCTTCCGAGAAGTCCTCGAGGCTCCAGCTGAACGTGTTGGCGTCGTCCGCCAGTAGCCTGTTCCTTCCGAGCCCGTACGTGCCGTCCTTGCCGGCCCACAGCTTGCCGTAGCCGAACCCGGGGATGAAATTGTCGCTGCTCGACACGTCGTAGACACTACCACAGAGCCCGAAGCACATCGGGAGGGTCACCCCGTCCCAGGCCGCCAGGGCCTGGGAAACCAGAAGGCATCGATCCCGCGACTCCCCAGACCTCTCTCGGGGTGAGTTCTGACCAGAATTTCGAAGAGAATCCAGCCGTGGCAACGAAGGTCTCCCAAGAGGCCTGGACGGGCGAAAACGAAGAAAGGGTAGCGGTATCAGTACCTTTTCCTCCGTTCCCAGACCCCCGACGTTATGATTTGTTCGTGACGTCTGACTCCATCTACTCCGACCCCATCCGGGAGGCCCCCTTGGGAGGGCTTCATCCTCTGGTCATGAGGGGGCATGCGGGAGGGGCGTGGGGCTCAGAGTGGCGCACGCAGAAGGATGGGAGGAGGCGGCTGATGGGAGGGCTTGAGGGTCCCCGAGGAGACCTCGAAATCCAAGCTGGCAGACGCACCGGACCACCCAGGGAGGCAGGTGTGAAGGTCCAGGGCAGACCCAGCGGGCTTCCGCGCGCGACACCAGAAGTGGAATTTGCCCAGAGCCAGGCCTGGCCGCTGAACAACGTGCGGCGCCCACGCCCCTCAGAGCGACAGGCTGGTCCTGGACGCCCAAGACATGGCGCCAAGGGGGGCAACCACTCTGCGCGCTTTTAACCGAACGCTTTGACCCTTCCCTTGATGCACTCCCTTGACGCCCCCCCCTGATGCACCCCCCCTTGACGTCTTTTTTGGTGGTCCTGCAGAGGAGGGCACGGGCCACGCAGGTCCTCGCCCGCGTGGAGGGGCAAGGGCGCTGAGACGACAGCGCTGCCAGTGTCAGGGCACCTCTGAGCGGATGCTAGGAGAAGCGTGCCACGCAGGTCCTCGCCCGCGTGGAGGGGCAAGGGCGCTGAGACGACAGCGCTGCCAATGCCACAGTGTCGGCGCGGGGCCTCCGCCAGATCCCCGCCGGGTGTCTTGAGCGGACGGGCCGGCCACCAGAGGCCTCGACCCCTTCCTCTGGGCCGCTCTTCTGACTCGAGGGGGTCTGGGCGGAGGGCCTCCGCGGTGAAGACCCCGTCCGCCGGGACCCTGTCGGGGAAGTCGCCGACCGAGCCCGCGATCTTCTCCTGGAGCGGCTCGGCGCGCTCGCCCCGGGCGAAGGGCTGCTCCTCACCCGGGACCTGCACCGGCGGGGCCGGCTCGTCGAACTTGGCCCAGAAAGCCCTCTCGGCCTCGTCCGACTCGGTGCCCTCGTCGTCGTACGCCAGCAGCCTTCGGAGGACGAAGGGGTACCCATACCACTACGCCCTCGTCACCACGGCTGGATTCGCCTCGAAACCCTTGCCAGAACGCAACCCGGGGGAGGCCCCGGGGAGTGGCGGTACTGGTTATTGTGTCTCCAGGCCTGCCGAGCGCCGCGAGGGCCACCGGTACCACCACGCACAGGACCGAGAGGAGGCCCTTCAGCGACAGCAGGTCCTCCCAGCCCAGCATGGCCGCAGGCGGGAGCTGTCGCCCGACGGGCCGAGCCCGTCTGGAGCCCACGGGCGCCCCGAGCCGAAACTCCTACGGATGAGGGAGCGGGTGCGTGTGAAGACTGGCGAGGGGGCGTGCAGGCTCTGGACAGCTGTGTGCAAGATGATAGACGCAGGCGCTGCAGCAACTGAACGACAAGAGGAGTGTCCAGTGCTGGAATGGTTGTTGAACGACAATGTAAAGCAAGGTGAACAGGGTCATAGCCACATTAACGAGAACGGCCTATGCTCTCAGATATGAACTCAATCACCGCTGAAACAAAACCACCAACATCGCGAACAACAAGGTCAGGCGCGCAGATGGATGTGCACATGAGTGTGTAAACGCTGGTAATCAGCCATTGGAAAAGCCAGACCGCTTCGACATCAACATCCAGATGAAGAAGATATCGGGGTGTTGCTCTGGGCATGGAGTTCAATGACATGCAGTGATTGAGAGCGCGGTCCCGGTAGCTGGAATTAAAACGGCGGCTTCTACCACAGTATACACAGGACAGATGTGCAGGAGTTTAGTTTCGGACATCACGGTATTCGCAAGAATATTTACATGCGCTCTACTGCTGACCACGGCAGTCTATCGCAGCACCGTCTTATCTCGGGGACATCAAGAAGCAGAACCTATGCGAGTTCAGATGCTATATCCGAAGGCTACTGCACCGACGCTTGGCACCGAAGGCTCAGCAGCGTATGGCACCACAACAGTGACGGGCGGCCTCTTGGAATCAGGACAATGACGTGGATTTGATCACCCCAGGTACAGCGGGACAGCTGCGGCCCCGCTCGGGTCTGGCGTTGAGGCAAGGTCTTGGTATCCATGGAGGTGCTACCGATGCAGACTTCCGTGGAGAACTCATCGTTATTCTGGAGAATCGTGGCAACAATCGCTTCACGTGTTAGTGTGGAGATCGAAGTGCACAACTCATGGTGATTCCGACGTCCAAGGCACCAGTACAGATCGACAAGCACATCGACAGTGGTGAAACAGCTCGTGGATAAGGCTTTGGAAGTACTGAAAAATCAGGCGTTGCAGCATACCCTCTCGTCGGAAAACCTATGGTCATGCCCAAAGTGCAAGCATGGAGGAGATCGTGAACACAGCAGACTCCCAGGAAAGTGCAAGCTAGCACCAGCAGCATCCAAGGCACCACTGACAAGACCAAAGGCAGTACCGGCGAAGGCAGCAGCAGCGAAAGCTGCACCAGCGACGGCAGCACCAGCAGCACCACGACCAGTTCTATCGGAACCTCAAGGAGCACCTCGACCTAATGCGCCACCGGATCCAGCACCTGATCCACGACCATCAAAAAAATTGGACGATAAGATCCTCCTACCACCGTCAAATACGACATCGTTGGCGTCGGCGTCAGAACCATACATGGAAACACAAGTCACCACACGGCAGGTTCAACCAGTACAGCGGCCAGCCAACAACGTCGTGAAGATGAGGAAGGCTTTCGACAGGCTAAAACGTGTAAAGATGGACGAATTCACGCTCAACATTCACGAGCAGCTCAAGAATTTGGATCAGATCTGGTTAGCGAGGCTCTGAGCAGACATTGCTGGACAGCATACTGGCGTACTCACGGAACCGACATCGAGACAGCAGCTCAGCCTAGGTGATGACTCGGACGGAACGTCACTCATGCTGATGGAGAGTATCAAATCCTTGATAGACGTGGACTCTCTGCACATCACGTGCAAGCCCAACAGCCTGGAGACATCAGCTACCACCTCAGTCGACGACAGCCCGTTCCGCATCATATTCAGGGGCACGGGCCAAGATAAATGGGAGAGTTCAACTATTGAACTTTTGGACGAGATGACTGAAGCGCAACAGCACAGTCCAATCCGACATCACAGGTGGCTCATCGCTGCTCAAGGACATGAATCGAAGAGGGCACTGACAGACGTACATTACCAAGGATCAAGCTCATCACGGTACCACCAAGCTTTTGACTTCAACCAGCTACGGCAGCAGCTCGAAGAGATCGAGTCGGGTGCAGAACGCTTCCTGCTGCTCAAAGGACTACATGACCGACTCTGGTATGAACAGTTACCTGGCACGGAGAAGTTTCTGAGACGGCTTGGGCTTCCAGACAAGTGTATGGAGATTGCAGTTCTAGTGATAGCAGGATCTAAAGAATGCAGCGACTGGACACCTATCGCAACAAAACCGAAGTATCGAGCAGAACTCACTGATGGTTTGGAGACGTCTTGATGTTCGACCTGTTCTTCATATTTGGCAAGACGTTCATCGTCATGGGCGACGAGGCCATCAGGTATAATGTATCGGAGCTTCTTCCGAAGAAAGATGCATACCACATCGCCCAGGCAAATTTACGGGCGTGGTTTCGCTATTTCAGACCACCCAAGGGCATCAAGTTCGACCAAGAAGGTGGCATCAGATACGATGACTTCGCGGTGGCTTGCGATCGGTACAGTAATTATACACCGACAGCTTGCCGGATCAAACGACTCCGGGAACCACACTAGCACTGGACTGACAAAGCGTCACATTGCATTGATCAAGACATCATCGCTCAAATGTAAGGCCAGCGCAGCTGAATTATCCCGGCAAAGCAACCTAACAGCGATGTGTAGAAGCATATCTGGAAGCATTCTCCTTAAGATTCAGATCAGAATCCAGTTGTAGAATTCTGCTGTTCTCACAGTCGCAGTCGCATTCGCGATGACAGTCGCAGTGGCAACGGCATTCGCAATCACAGCCTCAGCCTCAGCCTGCCTGAGTATCAGCCTGCCTCACTCTCAGCCTCAGCCTGCCTCAGCCTGCCTCAGCCTCAACCTCAGCCTGCTTCAGCCTCAGCCTCAGTCTGCCTTCAGCCTCAGCCTCAGCCTCGCCTCAGCCTCAGCCTGCATCAGCCTCAGCGTCTGCCTCAGCCTGCAGCCTCAGCCTGCCTCAGCCTCAGCCTCAGCCTCAGCCTCAGCCCTCAGCCAGCCTGCCTCAGCCTCAGCCTCAGCCTGCCTCAGCCTCAGCCTCAGCCTGCCTTCAGCCTCAGCCTCAGCCTCAGCCTCAGCCTGCCTCAGCCTCAGCCTGCATCAGCCTCAGCCTCAGCCTCAGCCTCAGCCTGCCTCAGCGTCTGCCTCAGCCTCAGTCTGCCTTCAGCCTCGGCCTCAGCCTCAGCCTGCCTCAGCCTCAGCCTGCAGCCTCAGCCTCTGCCTCTGCCTCAGCCTGCCTCAGCCTCAGCCTCAGCCTGCCTCAGCCTCAGCGTCAGCCTCAGCCTCAGTGCCTCAGCCTCCGGGCATTCAAAATGTGGCCCGGGAATGGAGTTCTGGGAACTCGAAGAGCACGAAGTGGCCTACAGTTGGCTCCGGGCATTCAAAATGTGGCCCGGGAATGGAGTTCTGGGAACTCGAAGACCACGAAGTGGCCTACAGTTGGCTCCGGGCATCCAAAATGTGGCCCGGGAATGGAGTTCTGGGAACTCGAAGACCACGAAGTGGCCTACAGTTGGCTCCGGGCATCCAAAATGTACGCCGGGAATGGAGTTCTGGGAACTCGAAGACCACGAAGTGGCCTACAGTTGGCTCCGGGCATCCAAAATGTACGCCGGGGATGGAGGTCTAGCAGCGCCAAGAGCGATTTTGCGAGGATGTCCCAAGCGATTTGGGCTTCGGCGGCACCGCCCCGGGTCCCGCCCCGACCCCCCTGTGGAGTCATCTGCTGCTCTCTTTTGAGACCACTAGAAACCTATCAGCAAAAGCTGTTAGGTAAAAAGGATTGATAGCACAAGACAAGGACATCGTTTTCGAGTGCATCATGTGTTAGATCTTCATGCTGGAATATGGAGGCTACGCACCAGCTCAATGGCTGCAGGGCCACAATCCCAGAGGACTGTTTGACCATAGCTCGGACTCAACACTGGCCATCGGCGGAGCTCGAGAATCTACCCCGCACACCTTCGAGTCATACTTACGGCTACGCATGATGGCGAAGAGTGCAGTGCAGAAAGCTGTCATCGAACAGCGCATTGCGGAAGCCAGCAACACCCAGGCGCTGATTCTCTCGGACGTGGCCAAGCTTCGACCTCTCCAAAATCTTGTGGACCTCTATCGGGTACCAGATCGCAAAGGTCAGTCAGGATGGAGAGGACGTGGCAATTTGCTGGACATCAACCTGAAGGAGAACGTGGCCATTGTCAAGCACCAGTCTATGCCGTACACCCCACCTCTTCGACACATCCGACCTCACAAAGCACGCTCTTACCTGGCGATGCTGTCATGTCCATCGGCTCACATGAATACGGAAGGCGCAGGCAGATGGCAGGACAATATGTACGATGATCTATACACGGTCCTACATCACATGCTGGACATAGTGGATGGTCAAATGCCAGGTGCAGTCACTACCACTGGCATAGTACATGATGCTCATGGGATGCAGTTGGCAGTGCCGCGTGATTTTGAAGTACGCACACCAGAGATAGTTCGGCTGGCACCAAGAATTTGCAGGTCGTTACTACAACTGCGGCTCCAAGTGCTGTTAGATACGGCACTCAGCTACACAACATCAACACGTACCATGTCAACAACAACGCCATCCTTATGTTATGGTTACGGCGCAACAGACTCAGCTACATTGTGCGGCAAGTAGACCTGTCACATACACTACGGTTGGCTACTATCGTTTCAGACACTCCGAACCTCTATTCGTTCATCATCTTTGTGTCTGAGCGGTACGAAGAAACTTTCATGCAGGAATCAGAAATTACTGGACATGTCAGACATCTCGGCCATTGAAGAGATCGGTCGTACTCCGTGGACACCACCTACGCAGCTGTTTCCAACATCACATCCTACGGAGTGGTGGAAACCACTTGGATACAACGAGATACCAGCACATCGAAACGACGATCAGCAACCACCAGCACCTCCACAGCAACCAGCACCCCGCCAGGCTCATATCCCAGCGTCGGCGTTCCCAGGGAATTAACCACCTGA